GGAATGTTTGAAATCTCCTACTATGATTGTAGAGTTTCCTGATCTTTCTCCTTAGTTCTGTCTGTTTTGGTCTCATATGAATCCATGCACATTTAGGAGTGGTTAAGTTGACCTTCTTATCATTATGAAATGTCTCTCTTAATCTCTGGTAATATTCCTTGTCTCACTGTCTGCAGTGTCTGATATTAATATAGCCATACCAGGTTTCTTGGGCCTCCTGTTTGCATGGCATATTGTTTTCCATCCTTTTACTTTCAACCATTAGTATTTAAAGTGCATCTCACATATACAGCAAGCTAGGTCCTTCTTTTGTTAATCCAGTGTGACTGTAGTCCAGTCTCTGGCTTTTAGCCGGAATGTTATTCTATTTACGTTTAGTGTAAATATTGATGTGATTGGGTTTAAGCCTTTCAGCTTGCTAGTTTCTTTCTGTTTGTCTGTTTTTCTTTTCTCCATTCCTGACTTCTTTTGGGTCAATTAGATATTTTTAGTATTCTATTTTGATTCCTCAATTGGCTTTTTGGCAGTATCTCTTTCTGTATTTTTAGTGTTGCTTTAGGGACTAAAATAGGCATCTTAGTTTATTACAGTCTTTAAAATTTTTTTTTTATTATTATTTTTGGATAATTCGCCCAGATTTCGCCCAGAGCTAACATCCGTTGCCAATCTTCCTCTTTTTTTTTGCTTGAGGATGATTAGCCCTGATCTAACATCTGTACCAGTCTTCCTCTGTTTTGTGATGCCTCCACAGCATGGCTGATGAGTGGAGTAGGTCCACGCCTGAGATCCAAACCTGTAAACCCAGACTGTAAAAGCAGAGCACAAGAAAGTTTAACCACTTGGCCATGGGGCCGGCCCCTGTTATAGTCTTTTTAGTGTATTATTAGAGAAGGGTAGTAAAATTCTGTTACCTTGTTTATTGTAATATTGGACAAAGGAGGTAAAATTCTGTTAGACTTCCCCATCCATTGTGCTGTTGTTATTATATATTTTATATCTATACCCACAATCCAGTGTTACCATTGTTTACTTTAAGCAATCGCTTATCTTTTAAAGAAAAGGTAAAATATAATCTTTCATGTTTACCCACATATTTGCCATTTTAGTTTCTTTTTATTTCTTTCTGTACATCTGAGTTTCCATCTGGTATTGTTGCCCTTTAACTTGAAGAATAATCTTTTATAATTTCTTATAGTTCAGATCTGTTGGTGATAAATTCTCTCAGTCTTTATCTGAAAATGTCTTCATTTCACCCTCATCATTTGAAGGACTGTTTTGTTGGTTATACAATTCTGGGTTGACAGTTACTCTTGTGGATGTTGTTCCACTGTCTTCTTATCTCCCTTGTTTCTGATAATTTAGCCATCAGTTTTACTGTTGTTACTTTGCATATAATGGGTTTTTCTATGACTCTTTTCGAGCCTTTTTCTTACTTTTTGGTTTTCAGCAGTTTGACTGATATGCCTAGGCATAGGTCTCTTTGTTTTGATCCTTCTTGGGTTTGCTAAGATTCTTAGGTATGTAAATTAATACTTTCTATCAAACTTGGAAAAATTTCAGCCATTATTTAAATTACATAAATTTTTTTCTTCCCTATTTCATTGTTGTCTTCCAGCACTCCAATTGCCCGATATTGTCCCACTGAACCTTCAGGTTTAGTTTTTTTGTTTTTTTCCTTCAATCTTTCTCTTTTTTTCCTGTTTGTTCTTCAGATTGTAAACTGTAGAAGAAAGGGTTAATGAATCTGGTGACTGATCAGTAGAAATTATCTGCTATTAAAGTTATCTAGGGTTTTTTTTTTTTGGGGAAGATTAACTCTGAGCTAACTACTGCCACTCCTCCTCTTTTTGCTGAGGAAGACTGGCTCTGAGCTAGCATCCATGCCTGTCTTCCTCTACTTTATTTGTGGGACGCCTACCACAACATGGCTTTTGCCAAGCAGTGCCATGTCTGCACCCGGGATCCTAAATGGCAAACCCTGGTCTGCTGAGAACCCTGGGCTAAGTGTGCACTTAGCCACTGTGCCACAGGGCTGGCCCCCCTAGGGAATTGTTTGTGTTGTATTTTTTAGTTCTAGAATTTCCATTTGCTTCTTTTTGATAGTGTCCATCTCTCTCCTGAAAGTACTCATCCATTCACTTATTATAACTATGTTTTCCTAAGTACTCGAATATATTTATAATAGTTGTTTTATAGTTCTTGTCTACTAATTCCAAAATCTGGGTCATCTCAGGATCTATTTCTATTGCCTGTGTTTTTTGTCCTTGATTATGGGTCACTTTTTCTTTTTCTTTTTTTTAAAGATTTTATTTTTTTCCTTCTTCTCCCCAAAGCCCCCCAGTATATAGTTGTATATTCTTAGTTGTGGGTCTTTCTAGTTGTGGTATGTGGGATGCCACCTCAGTGCAGCTTGATGAGCGGTGCCATGTCCACGCCCAGGATTCGAGCTCACAAAACCCTGGACTGCTGAAGCAGAGCCTGCGAACCCAACCACTTAGCCACGGGGCCAGGCCCATGGGTCACATTTTCTTGCTTTGCATGTCTACTAATTGTTTACTGTGTTGGACATTATGAGGGATAACATGATAGGGAGTCTGGCTTAAAGGGTATTGAGTTTTGTTCTGGTAAGCAATTCCTGGCAGATTGGTCCTGTCAAGATTGGTTCATTCTTTCTACTTATCTGTCTGTTTATCTATTTCCCTACCTACTTACCTATCCACCTAGGGCAGATATTTCCACTTTGAACTTAGTCTAAGTGCATGGCTCTTTCTCTGGAGTGTGATCTCTGTTACTAAGGCATGGCCCTCCTTGTATGTAAGTTGAATGTCTAAGGCACTTAGAAAGATGTCTTTCTTCTAGTTGGGCAGATGCTCCAGGGTCTTCTAGCACTGCGTGACCTCTGGAGTCTCCCTTCAGCACTCAGCCCCACTGCCCATGTACAGTGAAGCCCTGGCAAAGTACTCACGGTAAATCCCCCCAAAAACTTTCTGGGGCCTACCCTCTGCTCCTCTGGCCCACAAATTTCAGGTGTTTCTGCAACTTGGCACATCCATCTCATCCTCCTTGGCGGGAAACTGCAGTGTTGCCTGGGCAGAAAATGCCCCCAGGCAGAAAGCCAGGCCAGTCACTGGGCTTGTTCTTGTATTTCCCTTCTCTCAAGGCTCACAGTCCTGTGCTGCCTGTGTGCAGTGCCTGAGAACAGCTGCTACACAGATTGTGTCCAGTTTTGTAGTTTCACAATAGGGGGCAAGTCCAGGACCAATTATTCTTTCATGGTTGGGAGCAGAAGTCTGGCGGTTTGCCTGCAAGCTGTGTCTTCCTCATTAATAATATTAATGAAACTTCACAGTTTTTTTACTCCTTTATGGAGTATGACTGATTTTCTTTGGACAGATCCTTTATTTCTGTGTTGGCTGCAGAATTATTGTTAACTTATGTTAATACCCAAGTGTCTGAGTTTCCAGAGCCCAGCCTTCTAATCCATCACTATACCTGGTCATAGAGGTAGCTGAATGACCAGTAGTCCTAATGGTGCTCCCAGAGGAACTTTGTCTTCTGCACAGATTGTCCTCTGCGCCATCCTACCCTGTCCTTCTCATTGTCAGCAGTGGTGGTAGTCTGTAAATGATAATTCCAGTTGGAGGCAGTTGTCTTGAGATTTTTTGAAAATCTTCAGTTTAGAGTGCCATTCTGCCTTAATTTATTTGTTAAAATTAGGTATCATATATCTACTCCATAATGCATTTTCTGCATGAGGGATTAATGTGTATTTGTATGTAAAATTGGCTTTAAAAATATTTTCAAGATAGTTTTCATAATTAAGGCACAATAAGATCTGTTTGTTTCCTGTATGGGCGTTTCTTTCTTCCTTTTTTAGGGGATCTGTGTGTATATTTTGTGATTGACTCACTTGCATTTGTATAGCATTTTTTACTTTCAAAGTATTTTCTTGTACATCTGGTCCTTCCTTTCCATTCACACAGCCCTGTGCACAGTCTGGTTACCTCTTACGTGGACTGTTTCAGTGACCCCTAATTCTCCCTTCTTCTAAGAATCTTCTGGCCCATCACTTCTACAGTTTAATCTTCCTAAAGTTGAGTTTCTTGCTCTTATGTACAAGCATTCACTATTCCGGGTTGCCTTCCAAACTCTTTAACTGTTTTCCAGTCCACCTTTTTAGCCAGATTTTGGGTATTCTTTACTCAGCTGCCTCCACGTTTTCCATTCCCTGACTTCTCTGTGCACTGTTCTTTTTACCCAGTGTGCCCATCCTTCTCTCCATGTAGTTTCTTCTCTTCATCGTCCGAGGTCTCCCCACAGTCTCACTCAGTTGAACCTTTCCCAGTTCTCCATGCCAGTAGCGTCCTCCTGTCCAATTTATGCTGGGATTACAGGTGTTTGTACATATCTGTCCCATCTCCAAAGACAGGAAGACACGAGTCCTCAGTCATCGTATCTCCTGAAGACCTGGTGTCCTACACCTAATAGATAACAAATATTTGCCATTTCACTCTCGCAGGAACCTTATGATCTAGGTGGAGTGAGGGGTTATTTCCATTCACAGAACGAGGAAAATAAGGCCCAGAGTGTTTAAATGGTGCCACACACAGAATTAATGACTGATTCCAGATTTACAGTCCAAGTTCTGTAATTTCTTTCCTTAGGCAGCCTCTTCATTCTCACCTGATTTGCCTCAAAATTACTTTAGTTGGCTCCTAAAAGGATCAACTTAGATCCTTTGATAACTTTGGGCATGCCTAAATTCATCAAAAAATGGGTGGGGATTTTGCTCCTCCCTCTGCTATTCTTTGTGGGGCACAGTGGCCACCACATTGAGGAGCTGAAGCCTAAATGTGGGTCCCCAGAGCCCTGCCATTGTGGGTCCTCCTGCTCGTCTTCATGCCACACCAGACCTGGTGCAGAAGCTCTGTGTTTTGCTGTGTCTAAGGGTGACTGACCACCGCAGGCATCCAATTCTCTATTTCCCTCTCTTATTCCAGGCACTTCGCCTTAGTAACGTGGCCATGGGGAAGACCACCACAGGCCAGATAGTCAACCTGCTGTCCAACGATGTGAACAAGTTTGACCAGGTAAGCTGCACTGAGGGATCCATTTTCATTTCCTGCCTTTCTTGTGTAGTTTAACTTACTGGAATGTTCCGTGATGGTTTTTGTCCTAGGCCAGGATTTCTGTTGAGGACATATGACCAAGGGTACTTTTTATCCAACTCTCATTTCTTCTGTGTGCAACTTAGAGGTAGTAATACGTGTCGTCTTGTAAACTAGCGTTAGGTTTTTCTAATGTTGCCTATGACATGCTTCAGTAACAAATGGGCAGACAGCAGTGTGCTTGCCTGACTTAGTTCAATGCACGTAGTAGTCCTCCTGGAGAGGCCCTTCTTAGCACGTGGTGCTGGGATTGCTGGCTGAATTGTCTTTCTTCTCCTCTGGATGATGAACTCCTGGTGGGCAGGGTTTGTTCTTTTTCCTGTGCCCTGTACAGTGCCTGCCTCATAGGAAGCCTTTGATAAATAATGCCAAATGGGTGATCCCTAGCCAGAAATAACCTGTTCTCCTCTATCCTACCACACTTTTTCTTTTTTCTTTTACACTTACCTTATGAATGTATTGCATTATCCAGGGCATTGTAACTGCTGGTCAGATCTGTATTGCACTAGACTACTTCTCTTTCAATTATTCATTCATCAAACATGAACTGAGGCCCCTACTCGTTTTCAGGGATGCATAAGACTTGATTTCTGCCCTGGAGAAAGGGCAGCCTGACAGGGAGATAAATACACAAGTAGTTATGTCCTCTGTACACAGGAACAAGTCCTGCCTTGAGGGAGATCTGGCCATTTCCATTTCACCACAGTCCCTTCCCTGTATTAATTACAGCCATTGTCCAGTAGGAATTAGAATTCAGTGGGAGAGACTGGAGAATGTGGGCAGGTATCATCATACAGGCTTTCCTGGGGAGCCACAGGGAAGATGAGGCTGAATTTTGTGGCAGAGAGAGTTTAGGGGAGTCCTGAGCTCATCTGTGGGATAGACAAAATGGAGATCTTCCTTCCAGCCCTGCTGGTTGAGTTCTCCCTGGAGGAGCTGGAACCCTGCCCTAGGGTACCCAGGAATGGTGAATGCTTGGGTGTCTGCTTGAACAGGTTTAAAGCCCATTGTGATCGTTTCTGTTTAGTTTCCTGCCTGTTCTTTCAGAGACGACTGTTTCTATACTGTGTTCTTACTGGTTTTGTTTTTATATAGTCCTAAGAACACTCTGTCTTTTTCTTTTAAGGTGACAATATTCTTGCACTTTCTGTGGGCAGGGCCACTGCAGGCTATCGCAGTAACTGGCCTGCTCTGGATGGAAATAGGAATTTCATGTCTTGCCGGGATGGCAGTTCTCGTCATTCTTCTGCCTTTGCAAAGCTGCTTTGGGAAGTTGTTCTCGTATTTCCGGTAAGAGAAACACTGGTTTAAAAAATAGGTAATGTGGGGGCCGGCCCAGGGTATAGTGGTTAAGTTCGTGGCCTGGGGTTCACAGGTTTGGATCCTGGGCGCAGACTTACACACCGCTTGGGAAGCCATGCTGTGACAGCATCCCACATATAAAGTAGAGGAAGATGGGCACAGTTGTTAGCTCAGGACCAATCTTCCTCAGCAAAAAAGAGGAGGATTGGTGGCAGATGTTAGCTCAGGGCTAATCTTCCTCCAAAAAAAAAGGTAATGTGTATTTGGTAACATCCACAGTCTGCCCAGTGGTTTTGTTCAAAAACAGAACACTTTTCGTGTGTCGTTGACCCTTCAGGCTTAGCCAGTGGAGGCTCCAGCCGCAAGCTGAAGGCTGATCTTGAAAGGGGGAAAGGTGGAGACGTTTACTGGCTCCTCCCAGCTAACTTTTCAGGCACCATCCCTCAGTAACTAGAGTGTCCTTAAGCAGAATTTACGTATGTTGTAAATTCTTAATGTTGTAATGTCTTAAGTAATAATACATTTACATATCTTTGAGGCCCAATTCTAGCTGCGTGTATTTTTGTTTTGATTTTTATGATTTGTTTTGATTTTCAGGTGTGTATGTGTGTGTCTTGTTTTTAATTCAATGTTTCCGTTAAGTTTATAAACTCCCTGAGGGCGAAGTTGATCATAATTGTGTCTGATAAAGTCCCACAGTCCTGGCAGCACGTGTGGTAGAAAAGTGGCTGGTGATGAAGTGAATTGACCTCAAGCAGGTGCAGAGGGTTGAAAGTGGGTCATTGTCAAGGTCGTCAGGAGGATGGAGAGGTTGTGCTCTTAGATGTACACTGAGGTTTTTTTTGTGCCTTTAGTGTGGTGTCTTCTCTCCTTGGAATTTCCTTTCCCCTCTTTGCCATGGAGAAATGTTCCTTATCCTTCAAGGCCCATTCTAAGGCTGCCAGAACCCTGAAACTTTTCTTGCTCCCTCTTTCCTAGTAGAGTTAACAGCCCTTTCTTTTCTGCTCCCTTGCAGTTTATTCCTGTTTTATTATACCATGGCCAACGGTATTCTTGTTAGATTCGGGTGCTTTTCTGCCTTCCCTACCCAGCCATGACCTCCTTGAGTGACAGCTTGCATCCATCTCTTTTCCAGTCTTCCTTAGCAGATATTTCAAGTTCTCCAAATGACTTCTTGAATTGGGATGAATTGTTGACTTCCTAATTGAAGTCATTTTCCATTTGTACTTTGAGTCGGACCTGCCCGTGTTGTCATTGTGAAAAAGCTGTAGGGACTCGTGATCTTTGGTCTCTGCCTGTGCCCGCTGCTATCAGGAAGTCGGTCTGTGGTCACTGTGGCTCATCTCTTACGTCTGTCCCCTTAGGAGTAAGACTGCAACCTTCACAGACATCAGGATCAGGACCATGAATGAAGTTATAACTGGCATAAGAATAATAAAAATGTATGCTTGGGAAAAGTCATTTGCAGAACTTATTACCAGTTTCAGAAGGTAAGTTTTTGTACGTATCACACCATATTTTTGTACTTTTCTGCTTCCTGTTTTTACTGAATGGTTTTAGAACTCTTACTAAATTTTTGCATGAGGGTGAATTTAAATACTGTCCGCTCCATCCCCGACTGCGTGTGGCAGTAGGGTTAGGTAGAATAGCACAGCACCTCATTTTAACCTGCTCTTCCCTTTCCCATCTTCTTAAAGGAAAAAATGTATATGCCTCATACTTATACAGAAATGAAATTCCAAATGTTCCTTAATACCTCAAATCCCAAACAAGCAGTGATTCTAAGATGTTTGTATTTGAGTCTAGGACATTTAAACTAAGACTATCATTTATATTAATGTAGCACAAATAGGAAGATTATAGAGATTGGGTATACTGTATCGGGCCAAACTCTATGAATCAGTATTATTCATTTGAAACAGAGCCATGGAAATACTGCTGCTTCTATTTGTAGAATCTTTTTTGGTCTTTCAATTTAAGTATTTGATTAGTTTTTGTTCTCCAGCACGTGGTGCTATAATTCTCTGCCAGCGCCCTGCCAGCTCTCATATTTGCACTTTTGTGGGTGCACCTCCCTCTGCTGCGAATGCATGCTCACCTTCATCCTTCTCTGGCTCCCACCAGCCCCGACTAACCCAACTCATCCTCTCAGGTTCCATGTGCGTGCGACTCGCCCTGACTCCACTGTTCTGAGTTAGATGCATTGTCTTCTCCCACCAGTTCATGGGCTCCTGGAGGGATGGGCTGTATCTTTCTGTCATCAGTGAGGTGCCCAGCACAGGACTTGTGTTTACGAATGCTTGTTGAATGAATGTTCAAACCCAGTTTGATTGACCCAAAATGTTAAAGGGTCACATAAACCCTCCATTTAGTTGGGTAAGTGAAGCGGTGATGAAGTGTGTGATCCTTGTGTTGGAGCTGGCCCCAGGGTGTGTGCTGTAGAATATTTCCGCGATGTAACGGATGGTTTTATCTTAATCTGTGTCCACTCCTTAGAAAGGGACCACATGAAAAAGGCACTTGAATTCATGACTTTAATGTCAGTGCTTCCTTTGAAACCTATATCCTACTCTCTTTTCCAGGAAGGAAATCGCCAAGATTCTGAGAAGTTCCTACCTTAGAGGAATGAATTTGGCGTCATTTTTCATTGCAAGCAAAATCATCGTTTTTGTGACGTTCACCACCTATGTGCTCCTGGGCAATGTGATCACAGCCAGCCGTGTGTTTGTGGCAATGACACTGTATGGGGCTGTGCGTGTGACCGTCACCCTCTTCTTCCCCTCGGCCATTGAGAGAGTGTCGGAGGCAGTTGTCAGCATCCGAAGAATCCAGGTTTGGTGCCCAATAACTTTTTTTTTTTTAATTTTTTTAAATTTTAAATTTTAAACTTTTTTAATTGCAGTATTATTGGATTATAACATTATATAGCTTTCAGATGTACATCGTAATATATTTCAAAATCTGTGTACATTACATCATGTTCCCCACCCAAAAATTAATTATAGTCCATCCCCTCACATGTGAGCGTAATCACCCCTTTTGCCCTCCCCTCCCTTCCCCCATGGTAACCACCAGTCCAATCTCCACTGCTATGTGTTTGTTTGTCGTTTTTATCTTCTACTTATGGGTGAGATCATACGGTATTTGACTTTCTCCCTCTGACTAATTTCACTCAGCATAATCTCCTCAAGGACCATCCATGTTGTCTCAAATGGCCGGATTTCATCATTTCTTATGGCTGAGTAGTATTCCATTGTGTATAAATACCACATCTTCTTTATCAATTTGTCCCTTGATGGGCGCCTAGGGTGCTTCCAAGTCTTGGCTATTGTGAGTAATGCTGCAATGAACATAGGGGTGCAAGTATATCTTTATACCTTTGCGTTTTCAAGTTCTTTGGATAAATACCCAGCAGTGGGATAGCTGGATCATATGGTAGATCTATCCTTAGTTGTGGGTCCTTGGGTCCTTATAGTTGTGGCATGTGGGATGCCGTCTTAGCATGGTTTAATGAGCGGTGCCACGTCCGCGCCCAGGATTCCAACTGGCGAAACCCTGGGCCACCAAAGCAGAGTGCGCAAACTTAACCACTCGGCCACGGAGCTGGCCACTACTTTCATTCTTTTGCATGTGGCTGTCCAGTTTTCCCAACACCATTGATTGAAGAGACTCTCCTTTCTACATTGCATGCTCTTGGCTCCCTTGTCGAATATTAACTGTCCATAAATGTGTGGGTTTATTTCTGGGCTCTCAGTTCTGTTCCATTGATCTGTGTGTCCGTTTTTGTGCCAGTACCATGCTGTTTTGGTTACTATGGCTTTGTGGTATATTTTGAAATCAGGGAGTGTGATACCCCCAGCTTTGTTCTTTTTTCTCAGGAATCCTTTGGCTATTTGGGTCTTTTGTTGTTCCGTATAAATTTGAGGATTCTTTTGTTCTATTTCTCTGAAAAATGTTGTTGGCACTTTGATAGGGATTGCGTTGAATCTGTAGATTGCTTTGGAAAGTATGGACATTTTAACGATGTTAATTCTTCCAATCCAAGAGCAGGGAATATCTTTCCATTTCTTTGTGTCGTCTTTGATTTCTTTCAAAAATGTTTTTTAGTTTTTGGTGTACAGATCCTTCACCTCTTTGGTTAAGTTAATTCCTAGGTATTTTATTCTTTGTTGCAGTTGCAAATAGGATCATATTCTTAATTTCCCTTTCTGCTACTTTGTTGTTAGTGTATAGAATGCAACCGATTTTTGTATGGTGATTTTGTATCCCATGACTTGAATGTATTCATTTATTGTTTCTGAAAGTTTTTTAGTTTATTCTTTAGGGTTTTCTGTATATAAAATCGTGTCGTCTGCAAAGAGTGACAGTTTCACTTCTTTTCCAGTATGGATCCCTTTTATTTCTTTTTCATGCCTGATTGCTCTGGCTAGGCCTTCCAATACTGTGTTAAGTAAGAGTGGTGACAGTGGGCATCCTTGTCTGGTTCCTGTTCTTAGAGGGATAGCTTTCAGTTTTCTCCATTGAGAATGATATTTGCTGTGGGTTTGTCATATATGGCTTTCATTGTGTTGAGGTATTTTCCTTCTATACCCATTTTATTTAGAGTTTTATCATAAATGGATGCTATATCTTGTCAAATGCTTTCTCTGCATCTATTGAGATGATCATGTAATTTTTATTCTTCATTTTGTTAATGTCGTGTAGCACGTTGATAAGTTTGCAGATGTTGAACCATCCCTGCAACCCTGGAATGAAACCCTCTTGATTGTGATGTATGATCTTTTTAATGTATTGTTGTATTTGATTTGCTAGTATTTTGTTGAGGATTTTTGCATCGATGTTCATCAGTGATATTGCCCTGTAATTTTCTTTTTTTGTGTTGTCCTTGTCTGTTGTTGGTATCAGGATGACATTGGCTTCGTAGAATGACTTAGGAAGCATCCCCTTTTCTTCAATTTTTTGGAAGAGTTTGAGAAGGATAGGTATTAAGTCTTCTTTGAATATTTGGTATAATTTACCAGGGAAACCATCTGGTCCTGAACTTTTATTTTTTGGGAGGTTTTTTTTTTTTTTAAGATTTTATTTTTCCTTTTTCTCCCAAAGCCCCCTGGTACATAGTTGTGTATTTTTAGCTGTGGGTCCTTCTAGTTGTGGCATGTGGGATGCCGCCTCAGTGTGGCCTGATGAGCGGTGCCATGTCTGTGCCCAGGATTCAAACCAGTGAAACCCTGGGCCACCACAGCAAAGTGTGCGAACTTAGCCACTCAGCCATGGGGCCGGCCCTTTTTTGGGAGGTTTTTGATTGCTGTTTCTATCTCCTTACTGGTGATTGGTCTATTAAAATTCTCTACTTCTTCTTGGTCCAGTTTTGGAAGGTTGTATGTTTCTAAGAATTTATTCATTTCTTCTGGATTATCCAATTTGTTGGTGTATAGCTTTTCATAGTATTCTCTTATTGTCTTTTGTATTTCTGAGGTGTCCATTGCAGTCTCTCCTCTTTCATTTCTGATTTTATTTATTTGAGCCTTCTCTCATTTTTCTTGGTGAGTCTAGCAAAGGGTTTGTCAACTTTGTTTATCTTTTCAAAGAACCAGCTCATGGTTTCATTAATTTTTTCTATTTTTTTAGTCTCTATTTTGTTTATTTCTTCTCTGATTTTTATTATTTCCTTCCTTCTGCTGATTTTTGGGCTTGCTTTGTTGTTCTTTTTCCAGTACCTTTAGATGCGCTTTTAGATTGTCTATTTGGGATTTTTCTTCTTTGTTGAGGTAGGCCTGAATGGCTATAAACTTCCCTCTTAGAACCACTTTTGCTGTATCCCACAGATTTTGGCATGTCGTATTTTCATTTTCATTTGTCTCCAGGAATTTTTTGATTTCTTCTTTGATTTCTTTATTGACCCAATTGTTCAGTAGCATTTTGTTTAATCTCCACATTTTTGTGGCTTTTCTGGTTTTCTTCCTGTAGTTGATTTCTAGTTTCATACCTTTGTGGTCAGAGAAGATGCATGGTATTATTTTGATCTTCTCAAATTTATTGAGACTTGTTTTGGGGCCTAATATGTGATCAATCCTGGAGAATGTTCCATGTGCCTTTGAAAAGAATGTGTATTCTGTGGTTTTTGGATGGAATGTTCTGTATATATCTACTAGGTCCATCTGGTCTAATGTGTTATTTAAGGCCTGTGTTTCCTTATTGATCTTCTGTTTGGATGATCTATCCATTAGTGTAAGTGGAGTGTTAAAGTCCCCTACTATTATTGTGTTACTGTCTGTTTCTCCTTTTATGTCTGTTAATAATTGCTTTATATATTTAGGTGCTCCTGTGTTGAGTGTATAGATATTTGCAAGTGTTCTTGTTGGATTGTTCCCTTTATCATTATGTAGCGCCCATCTTTGTTTCTTGTTATAGTTTTTGTTTTAAAGTCTCTTTTGTCTGATGTAAGTATTGCTACCCCCGCTTTATTCTCTTTGCCATTTGCATGCAATATCTTTTTCCATCCTTTCACTTTCAGTTTTTGAGTATCTTTAGGTCTGAAGTGTGTCTCTTGTATGCAGCATATGTGTGGGTCTTGTTTTTTTATCCAGTTGACCACCCTATGCCTTTTGATTGGAGCATTTAGTCCATTGACATTTAAAGTAGCTATTGATAAATATGTATTTATTGCCATTTTGCCACTTTTTTTTCTGGGTGTTTTAGTAGTTCTTCTCTGTTCCTTTCTTTTTCTCTTGCTCTCTTCCCTTGTGGTTTGATGGCTTTCTTTAGTAATATTTTGATTTCTTTTGTCTTACTTTTTTGCTTACTTATTATAGGTTTCTGATTTGTGATTGCTATGAGGATCCTATTTAATATTCTACGTATATAGCAGTCTGTATTGAGCTGATAGACGCTTTAGCTTGACCTCTTTCTAAAAACTCTACTTTTTCACTCCCCTCCTCCCACATTTTATGTTTTTGAAATCCTATATAGTCTGTTTAGTGTGTGTCTGTCCCTTACCCTCTTATCATTGAAATAGGTGATTTTAGTACATTTGTCTTTTAACCTTCCTATTATCTTCACAGGTAGTTGATCTGCTACCTTTACTATATTTTTACTGTTACAAGTGATTTTATTGCCTGGGTTTTTTTTGGTTTCCTTTTTTTTTTTTTTGGTAATTTTTTTTCTCTCTATTTGTGGTCATTGCCTTCCCACTTAAATAAGTCCCTCTGGCATTTCTTGTAGAACTGGTTTCTTGGTGATAAACTCCTTTAATTTTTCCTTGTCTGGGAAGCTCTTTATCTCTCCTTCCATTCTGAGTGATAACCTTTATGGATAGAGTATTCTTGGCTGTAGGTTTTTTCCTTTTAGCACTTTAAACACATCGTGCCATTCTCTTCTCACTTGTAGGGTCTTGGCTGAGAAGTCCACTGATAGCCTTATGGGCTTTCCTTCGTATGTCACTTGTGGCCTTTCTCTTGCTGCTTTTAGGATTCTCTCTTTATCTTTAATTTTGGACATTTTAATTATAATGTGTCTTGGTGTGGGCCTCTTTGGGCTTATCTTGTTTGGAGCTCTCTGTGCTTCTTGTACTTGTATATCTGTTTCCATCCTTAGGTTAGGAAAATTTTCATCTATTATTTCTTCAAATAAATTTTCTGCCCCTTTGTCTCTGTCTTCTCCTTCTGGGACACCTGTGATCCGAATGTTAGCACACTTAATATTGTCCCAGAATTCCCTTAGTCTGTTCTCATTCTGTCTAATTTTTTTTTCTTTGTTCAGTTTGGGTGGTTTCCTTTAGTCTTTCGTCTAGCTCGCTGATGTGTTCTTCTGCATCCTCTACACTGCTCTTGAGT